GGAGAAAAACTATCTGCAACAAAAAAAATTTGTTGTAAAACATTATCAGTTCCCGCCATTTCTCACGTCAAAAAAATTGGAAAGAAATCACTTTTTCACAACGTTTATCAAAATACGTCGCAAATAAATTGCCAAAAAATCTATTTGCGAAGAAAAACAAAACGTCACAATTAATATTTTAATTCAAATTTAAAATAACAAAATAAATTCTAATTTGCGACGAATATTAAAACGTAGCGCAATAATAATTTTATTTAACACAAAAATAAAATTTGTATTTTGTGACGGATTTAGAAAAACATCGTTAAAAAGTAAATATTCCCAACAAAATAATAACAAATGTTGGAAATTAATATTAATATTTCATTTTACTTATAACTCAAATTGTTTTTTTGCAACGAAAAACTAAACGTCACGAATTATATATTTTGACTCTATTTTTATTTTTATTTTTATATTATTTATTTGTGCGATGAATTAAAAGTATTTGCGACAAACAATTTTTGTCGTAAAATATATCAACTTCCACCATTTTCTAGCGCCAAAAATTTCGAAGGGAAACACTTTTTTCGCGACGTTTTTATAAAACGACACAAAAATATTGCCAATAAACTATTTGCAACAAAATTCTGGAAGCGTCGCAGATTAATATTAATATTTCATTTTACTTTATAACTAAATTAATTTTTTGTGACGAAAAAGTAAACGTCGCGAATTATTTATTTTGACTCTATTTTTATTTTAATTTTTATATGATTTATTTTTGTGACGATTTAAATGTTTCTACGACAAATAATATTTGTCGTAAACAATATCAATTCCCACCATTTTCTCGAGCCAAAAAATTTCAGAGGGAAACTTTTTTGCGATGTTTTTGTAAAACGTCGCAAACAAACTATTTGCGACAACATTCTGACAGCGTCGCGAATTAATATTAATATTTCATTTTACTTTATAACTAAAATTGATTTTCTGCGATGAAATATTAAACGTCGCGAATTATATATTTTGACTCTATTTTTATTTTTATTTTTATATTATTTATTTTTACGACGATTTAAAAGTAACTACGACAAATAATTTTTGTCGTAAAAAATATCAATTTCCGTCATTTTCTTTCTCCAAAAAAATTCTAAGGGATTCACTTTTTCGCGACGTTTTGCCAAACAAACTATTTGCGACAAAATTCTTAAAGCGTCGTGGATAATACATTTTGTGCGACAAATTTTAAACGTCGCAATTAATATTTTAATTTTAATTTAAAATTAAAAAATAAATTCTAATTTGCGACGAATATTAAAACGTCGCGAAATAATAAATTTACACAAAAATAAAAGTTGTATTCTGCGACGAATTTCGAACAACATAGCTAAAAATAAAATATTCCCGATAATAAAATAACAACGTCGCTAATTAATATTAATATTTCATTTTACTTTATAACTAAAATTGATTTTCTGCGATGAACAACTAAACGTCGCAAACTATATATTTTGACTTTATTTTTATTTTTTTTTTATATTACTTATTGTTTGCGACGACTTAAAAGTATCTACGACAAACAATTTTTGTCGTAAAAAATATCAATTCTCCCCTTTTTCTTGCGCCAAAAAAATTTGGGAGGAATCACGTGTTCGCGATGTTTTGTTTTTCTAAAAACGTCACAAAAAATATTGCCCAAAAACCTATTTGTGACAATTTTGAAAACGTTGCTGATAGTACGTTTTTTGCGACGAAATAAAAAATGTCGCAAAAAAAAATGTCGCAAAAATTAATTTTTGTTGTTGTGTACACAACATTACCTTCCACCTCACATCTTTCTAGCACTGATGATGATCTCTCTCCGATCCTACCACCTATTGTAGTATGATTGGTGTCTTCATATCTCTCTCAAGCTTGTTATGGCTCTGATCTATTGAGCAAATTCAACATGGCCAAGTGCAAACCATGCTACACAACATTACCTTCCACCTCACATCTTTCTAGCACTGATGATGATATCTCTCTGATCCTACCACCTATTGCAGTATGGTTGGTGTCTTCATATCTCTCTCAAGCTTGTTATGCCTCTGATCTATTGAGCAAATTCAACATGGCCACTTGCAAACCATGCTACACAACATTACCTTCCACCTCACATCTTTCTAGCACTGATGATGATCTCTCTTCGATCCTACCACCTATTGTAGTATGGTTAGTGTCTTCAATACCTCACTCTTTCTCGACTAGATATCGCCTTTGTTGTCAATCAAGTGTATCAATTTATGCAACATCCTCGCATATCGCATCTCCAAGCTATTTAGTGCATTTATCAGTAAGTCAAAAGGACTACACAACATGGGCTTTCCTTTCGTCAATCTAATGATTTTACTTTACAAGCTTTCTTTGATGCTGATTGAGTTGATTCTCCAAATGATTGGCGTTCCACTACTAGTGCTTGTATTTTCCTTGGTCCTAATCTCATTCTAGCACCGAAGCTAAATATTGGGCTCTTGATATCACTACTGCTGAAGTCCGTTGGTTTTTCTATCTCATCATAGAACTCGGCATCCCGCTTTGTTCTCCACCTTCCATATGTTGTGACAACATCTCGACACTTCATATGGCTGCTGACCCTACTTTCCATGCTCAGACTCACCATATTGAAATTGATTATCACTTTGTATGAGAATTACTTACTTGTGGAGCTTTACGTGTTCACTATGTGCCATCTGCTCAACAACTAGCTGATATATTCACTAAAGGCCTCCCATGTGAACGCTTTGCTCATCTTTCTTCCAAGCTCAATCTCTACTACGTGTCATCTAGCTTGAGGGGGCATGAAAGAAGTCAAACCTAATCCCTTAATTCCCTCACTGATTACTACGATTCTGCAGCTGATGAAAATCACACATGCTCTCTTGATTTGATCCATTGATTATGTGAATTTGTCTCCCTATAATCTTGCATTGTAATAACTCCAAATGTTTTAATAATACTATAAATAGTTCAATATACCACAAAACTTTACATAGGCAAATTCATTCTCTCATACATTCTACAAAGTTTTCATGGCTTGGTTATGAATCATCAACCTGTAATATATTTTCTTGCTAGCTTCTTCCTTTTTTGCATTTCTTTGTTATGTTTCGGGGAAGAACAAAAAAAATGAAACAAAAACCAGCAGGCTAACCAAACAAGATCTTGTTTCACACATCCTCCTAAATCAACCTCTTGTCCTCCATTAGATAATCACTATTCCCAATTTGTTTTTCTTAATAGCTTTCTACACTAGCATTGATCGTCTTGAATTGTGGGGAGGACACCACACATTGTTGAGAATATGACTTTGTTCATTGCATTGTCAACTATAAATTTGTAGTCTTGCTTGCTCTCTTCAGCCTCAAAAATCTTATCTTGATCGCTCTTTAAGCACCTGGTTGATTGCTCATGTCAATTGGTACGGTGATCTTAGCCACATGGCATGAGGATAACATATACTAGTTCATGGTATATCAATTATGCAAAAAAAAAAAGTTCACACCAGTAATGTTGTTAATGCATAAAATACTCGTCATTGCAGATGTTTAATGGTACTCCCTAATGTCTACAAGGACATCATCCCCCAATCCTTCTACCAAACACAAATGCCGTCTGACCTCTATCGATTAAGCCAAGCAAAACCGTATAGGAGTCTCTGCCTTAGGAACAAGAGCAATAAAGCTCCTTCAACTTGTGGGCCACTGAAGAAAAGAAAGACTTGACTACATTGATATTGTCCCTTGCCAGTATATGCCACCTCGAAGACAACACTAAAACCAATTGGTTTATGGATCTTTGCTTCAGAAGAATCATTGATCCAATCAGTATATTCTTAATAGTTTTTGTTTTGCATGTGATAAACACTATGGCCTGACTTAATAATTTTGCTAGTTCAACAATTGATGTATTACATGGCAAAGATCGATCACAATGACTTTACGCCATGAGTGACGGCCATGGATTGAATTCAAATTGGATTTAAATTGATCCCAATTTCCTTCTCATCTAAAATCTAATTTTAAATATTCAATAAATTTTATCTTCGTTGCTCATAACAAAATTCCTTAAAAAATTCGTTAATTTTTTTGATATAATTTATTTAGAACTAATATTTACCATATTACGTCTTAATTTGTAGTCACGTCCACTATATAATCCCTCAGTTAGAATTAATATTTACTATATTACACCTTAATTTGTAGTCACTTCCACTATATAATCCATCAATTCCATCATAGATTTATGTAAACAATGTTCAAATATAATATAACATGAGCGATATTACACAAGCTTCAAAAATTAATTTAAAATTTTGACTTGATAATATGGCTATTATATTTATTATTGATTTAGCTATGAATCACAATATTTATTAGAATACACTATCTATTCAATAGCAATAATTTATCAAGTTAATTTTTAAGCCTATTTAACATTTTTCATATAACACTTTCATCGTAACGACAAAGAGCAATGTTATTGGTGATTAATTTATTAACATAATTTACTATTCTAATTCATTATAACACTTAGATTAATTGTGGATTTCATTAAATATTGAAACTTGATGTTAATTTAATTATTATAATTAAATCACACCATTAAATTAATAAATAGGTCAAATTTTTATATCCAAAATTACTCGTGATCAAAATATCAATTCATGTCTCACTAATTGGATTCAATCCTATACATCATCTACTAGGTAATAAAGCCAATATCACTCATCCCACCAAAAGACTTATATGATTTTAAAAAATGTTATTTGAACCGAATTCGAGAGCTTAATCTAAGGCTTAATTTAATGCAGCGATTTGATTTGAAAGTGGCCTTGCATGAGCAAAATATAAGTTGCACCACAGCCAAGATTGATGGTCATATCCATTCCCTTGACAATTAGAAAGTCACATGAAAAATCATCCTCTTCCCACTTTCATTAGCATATCAACCTAAGAGTAAGAACCCTAAACCAAACAACCATGGCCAACCACCACTTCCTCATCCTATCTCTACCTGCCCAAGGCCACATCAACCCCACCCTCCAGCTCGCCAAGAACCTCACACGCGCCGGCGCGCTAGTCACCTTCGCCACCACCGTGGATGGCCTGAGTCGCCTGAACCATGGCCCAAAAATAAAGGGCTTATCCTATGCTTCCTTCTCCAGTAGCGACGCGGAGGACACCACCAAAGAGAAGGGCAACATTGCCAGCTACTTTGCCATGATAGAGCGCGAGTTGTCTAAAAACCTCCCCAAGCTTCTCCAAAGCCTCTCTACCAACGGCCGTCCGGTGAATTTATTAATCTACACTTACCTCCTCCCTTGGGCTGCCAAGGTGGCGCGTGATTTGAACGTGCCGTCGGCTTTTCTTTCTATTCAGAGCGCTACCACCGTTGCCATCTACCACCGTTGCTTCAACAGTAATAACGGTCTCTACGATGGTAAAACCGGCATTAGCCCTGAAGTTTCCATCAATTTACCAGGATTGCCATTGTTGACATGCAACGACATACCCTCTTTTCTCTTACCAACAGATCCACACTACTCTTGTCTACTCCCTATTTTCAATGAGCACATAAAAGCCCTAGAAGAAGATCCAAACACATGCCTTCTAGTAAACACTTTTGATTCACTTGAAGCTTCTTCAATAAAGGCCATAGATGATATGAATGTGATCACGATCGGACCCTTAGTTCCGTCTGCTTTTTCCGATGGAAACGATTTGTTAGACACTTCGTTTGGTTGGGATTTGTTTCAGAGCTCTGTAGATTACCTTCAATGGCTGGACTCAAAACAAGAAAGGTCAGTGATTTACGTCTCGTTTGGAAGCATAGCAGCGTTACAGAAAACCCAGAAAGAAGAGCTTTTCCATGGATTAATCGAAGCTGGCCGCCCATTTTTGTGGGTCATTCGAGATCCTCAGGGAGAAGAAGTGAAGAACATGATGGCGGAGAAGGTGAGTGAACAAGGGTTGATAGTTCCATGGTGTTCACAAATGGAGTTGCTGTGTCACAGGTCGATAGGGTGTTTTGTGACCCACTGTGGGTGGAATTCGACGGTGGAGAGTCTGGTCGCTGGTGTGCCGGTGGTGGGGTGGCCGCAGTTTTCCGAGCAGTTTACAAATGCGAAGATGATGGAGGAGGTGTGGAGGACGGGGCTGAGAGCGGCGGTGAATGAGAAAGGGACGGTGGAGAGAGAAGAGATTAAGAGGTGTTTGGAGACTTTAATGGGTGATGGAGAGAGAGGAATAGAGATTAGACGTAATTTGGTGAAATGGAAAGGTTTGGCTATGGAAGCTGTGAAAGAGGGAGGTTCCTCCTACAACAATATGAAACAGTTTCTGCAAAAGTTAGGGTAAGATAATTCAATGGATTGTTGGTTTAATAAATTGATTTGGATGTTGGATAATTTGGAAAAATCAAAATGAACATCAATATATTCAACTTTATGTTTCTCATTCTTTTTTTACATTTTTATTTCTTATATCACTTCGTTTTCTAAGTTTATAAAATAGATTAAAAACAAATTTCCTCATCTTTAGAAAACTAGACCCTCAAAGGAATTAGCAAAATCTCTAATGCAATGGCATGCCAGGGTTAGGTTTTGGTAGGAAAATTATTTTTTTTGTCCTTTATTTTAATTTTTTTCTGAAGCAAAACATTATAGTAGTAGCAAGTCACTTTTCGGTAACATGCTACGTCTTTTTACCCAATCAAAACATTACACTAGCAAATCATTTGATTGTGTTGTTTTATTTTATGTTATTATTTTCACTACAACAAATTTATTTTTCAGCGATGAGTTTTAACGACGAACAATAAAATTTGTTGAAAAAAGTGATTTTTAGCGACAATTTCAAATGTTTGTCGTGGTTAGCTTTTTATGATATTTTTGGCGATCATTTTTTATGGTCATCGTCAATAGTCTTCGCAAAAACGTTCTTTCAAAAAAAATTTGTCACCAAAATAATTTTTCGATCGCAAATTTTTTGTCAAATAAAGGAAAATAAGAAATCAAAAATAATAATACTTAACAACAATACATGTTTGTGGAAGAAAAAAAAGTTATTTTTTTTGTTTGACGACAATTTATATTTGGTTGCAGAATATTTTCTCATCAATGATTATAAATAACTCAATTCAAAATCTATGTTTGAGAATTTTGTTTAGAAGTTCAATAAATTAAATCAATGAATTAGGTTTAAGTAGCATTGTTCATTCAAGTAAGCCTCTTGCGAACTTTTGTTGTAGTTTTGGCGACAGAGATCTACCTGCCGTTTGGCATAATTGTGAAGGTGCTTGGGACAAAGTGAACTGCTATTTGAGTTGTATTCTTTTGCCATATATGTTTCAGTATGTAATAAAACAAGCATGCCTTTGCTACCACCGTTGCTGCTTACAAAACCTTGCAAACTTCACCATGTGCAATGCTACGATCCAGTTATATTTTACATCCGGTTACTTACAAAAACTTTGAACAGTTTAAAAATGCAATCAACCTGTCTTGCTGATGAAGTCAAAGTGGTGTGGCACCATTAGAACCAACTAGGGATGTGCATAGGCCTAATCGGATTCGGCCCGCAGAATAATTTTTAGCCCTTAACAAGTGAGTTATCGTGTGGTCGGGCCGGGTTTTGGGTAGAGAGACTACCCACGAGCCTATTGGACGGGCTTGCTAGGTGGACCTGCTCGTGAACTTTTTTATATATAATTTTATTTAAAAATAATGAATATTTTTGTAACTTAATATTTGTGTAAATTATATTTTTGAATTAAAATTAGAGTCAAAATGAATAAAAATAAAATAATGAATAATTTTATTTTTTATTAGGAGCTGAACTATATTCAATAGAATAAATACATCTCAACTAGGTTGACATCTATTCACTTATGTATCATTTGCATTACTCTATCTTTTAAAACTTATATGCTTAATACATAGAAAAAAAAATAATACATTATTTATAGTATCTAAATTTTTAAAATATCAAATTTTGATATTAGGAGACTTATTTCAAAATTTCAAATATAATAGTCTTAAAGTATAGCTTTTTATCAAAGGAAGGGTGGGAGGTTTGGGCTTGGCAAGAGGGCTCTTGGGCCGGGTTTTAATTGATTTTTCCGGCGGGCTATTAGACCGGACTTTGAGCCAGGTAATGGATTTGGGTTAAACCAAACCCTTTTTTAAAGGATATTGGGTTCAGGCTAGAGTGAGTCAACTATCGAGTCTATTGAATTTCGGGCCTATTTTTTTCGGGCCGAGTAATAAAACCTGTGGGTAACCGGACCCATAAAACCCCCTAGAACCAACAAAATAAAATCCAAAATTTTGTCCATTAAGCAAAAGTCAATTTTTTGCTGAGCGTTATGAGACATGAGGTGCTCTTATTTTTTTTTGAAAAAAATTTATTCTTTTATTTCTATAACTATTTTGGTGATGGTGAAAAGGGAATATGCTGTTTGAGTAAACCAAATGGGGTGCTTTTATTTTGTTCCCATTATAAAATACAGCTAATTAATGCAATATGAATTGAAAAATTTCCCCTTTTTTTACAGAGTAATGATACATGGACTTAAAAATTAGACTTGATAATCTCAACCATTGAATAAGTAGTGGGTCCAATAAATGCTGGAACCTACAGTGAAATCAATGGTTGAGATTATTAAATCTAATTTTTAAGTCTACTTTTTAAGTGCATGTAGTATTACTCTTTTTTACATGATTGGTTATTACATACTAATCTTCCCTTCCCTCATATACTAATCAAGTTCTTAGAGACCCCAGGAAGGTAAAAAAAAATAGGAAATATTCATTCGGAACCTGGGTAAATTTCTGAATTGCTTGAAACAAAATCAAAATTGATGTTCAGCTTGAAATCATGAAGTTCAGAACTTTCAAGAAATGTTATATATGAAATAAAGAAAAAGAAGACAAAGAAAAAGAAGTCATTTGGAATCAGTTCAAATGGATTGTAGATGCCTGATCGAAGCCCAATGAGGAGCCAATTCAAATGGATTCGAGATGTTTGTTCCAACCCCAAAAATAATTAGGGGAAATTGGAAGGGGGTATACAAAATTAGACTTAATTGTAAAAAAATACACAAAAAAAAATGTTGAGTAATTAAGTCTTTAATTTTACTGATTTTTTTGTGACATTTTTGTCCTCCATTGATCCATGTGTATTTTCTTTGAAAAGTGATGAATTAAACATCTCCTAATTTTATGGGAGAACTTTAATGTTCCATATTTGTATGTCCTATCTTGATTCATGCGAATTTTTTTTTGAAAAATTATTTTGTCTTTAAATTATATTTAACGCACCTTGATTCATGCATTATATATATATACTTGTTAAATCTCTTATCTAAATTGTGAATTATCTTTAATGCTTGGAAAGTGGTTTTATTTTCAAATTATATTTATGCATTAAATATTTACTACTAATAGTTTTATATGAGAATTTTAATATTTCGTTTATTTTAGAATATATCACTTGTTTGAATTTCAAAATTTGTTAATATCCGAATTCCATAATAGTGTAACAAATACACTGTAACAAAGACAATGTAACAATACAATGTAACAAAAATAGTGTTCAGTAGTTTTGTGCATGCGCTAACAAATTTAAAACAGAGATGGATTATTTTGAATGAAATTATATGAAACTATATATTTGGCAAAATGTAATAGTACAATTTTTTGTGTAAATAGCTTGTTATATTGTTATTGTTACACTGCTATTATTATACTATTACATTGTTATTGTTATACTATTACACTATTCGGATATTAAATTAATTTGAAAATAAAACTAATTTTCAAAAAAAAATGCATGAATCAAGTTGCATTAAATATAATTTGAAAACAAAATCACTTTTCAAAAAAAATAAATACGCATGAATCAAGGTACATTAAATTCAAACAAGTATATATTAATATACATATTTATATATATATGTATTAACAAATACACATGAATCAAGATGTATTAAAGATAAAAAAAATTTGAATTAAATGACCTTAAAATGCAGGGGTGGCTTGATATGTTTTGAGGCCTAGAGCGATAAATTCGACTTAAATTATTTTTAATAACAATGTAAATTTTTTAATATTTAATTTTTTTCTAGATGCATATTAATTATTTAATATTCGGATGCAATCAATAAATAACTCAGTAACATCATTTCATATTCTCATGTATGTTGGCTCATCCCCATTGTCGTATATGTTGGTTTCTTCTCAGGAATCTACCCCCTTGTTTGGTTGGAGGGAAAATAGAGAGGATGGAAAATGGAGGAAGGAAAGTGGGAGGGAAGAAAAGTCTTTCCATTGTTTGGTATGGAGGAAAAATGGAAGGGAAATGCTTTCCCTTGAGCCCACCAAAAATTTTCTCCCTAAAAATGGGTGGAAAATGGACTGACAATGGAGGGAAGATGAACTTTTTTGTGAATTGACTATTTTATCCACCACTCTCTAAAAATTTATTTGCCTCCCATTTTTTTTCCTTTTTTATTTTGGTTCCCAATAGTCTCATAATTCAAACCGTTTAGGTCTAATTTTTTAATTATAGAATTTTTAGTATTTATTATTTACCACAAAATATAATTATAACTTAACTTATTAAGTTTGCTTTTGTATATGTAGTGGAAGATTTAATAATTAAATGTACATAATGAAAAAAAATACATATAATTTCTAGTTAGATACACATTAAATAATTAAATGAAGAATTTCTTTATAAGTAAATTTTATTTTTGATTTTATTTTAATAAATGATACAATAGAACATGAATTTTAGTTGTAAAATTTGAAATATTTAATATTTCATATTTGATTGGAGTACTTTTGGTTTAAGTATAATATTTTAAACTTAAAAAAGGTCTATATATTTTATACTTATAAACTTTAGTGGGTTTAAATATTATATACTTATAAAAAAAATCGTGCATTTTGGTTTATTTTCTTTAATCTTATTCATGTAATTAGATGTGAGGGGTATAATGGTAAATTTGGTATATATCTTTTTCCTTTCTATCCAATTTTTCATCCAATACCAAACAAAGGAAAATGCATCCTTTCAACTTTTCATCCATCATACCAAATATAATAAAGAAAATATATTCTTTCCAACTTTTCATCCTTCTTTCCATCCTTCCAATTTTCAATCCTTCCTACCAAATGGACTCTACCCAACCTAAACATGTATTTTGTTCAAGACCATGTTCCAATGATAAAGAAACTAAGAATTCATACATATTTATCATATAATTATCAAGAGAATTGAAAACATACATATATAATACCCTAAGTCTCAATGAAAGAACTCAAGAAAAATCTCCTACCTCAATTCCGTAGTTT